AAAAAAAAAAAAAAAAAAACAACCTAATCTTTTGGATTTGTTTTTTGTTATGTAAGGTTATATTTAATGGGATAATTTTTTATGCCCCATTATATACATGCAGGGGCATCTTCAGAAAAAATTTTCATTCGGGCTGCAAAATATACAGTTATACGAACCGAGTGGTCCTCTAACATAGTTCGATTCGACTGGTAAATGTTTGAGGTTGACTTGCTTGTATATTTAAATGAGCAAAACTTGAATAATAAATCGAGCTTGTCTAACAAACAAGTCGAATCGAACATGTTCACGAATAATTCTGTCGCAGTTTGAGTTTTAGTTTAGGTTTTAAGGTTTATAAAAGACTTGAACTGAGTTTATAAGAGTCAAACCCAAGCTAAAATTTTTATTTGTTTATTAAACGAGCTGAGCAACGAAATCTCATTTATAAAATGAACGCGAGTTCGAACTTGAACTACTCCATTCAAAAAATTTAGATAGACACATGTATAAAAAAGTCAAAGTATGAAAATAACTTTTAAATTTAATATAAATTACATGAATCACAATAAATAATATCAACAAGAGAATGTTACATTTGTAAATAGTAATTATTTACGTTCTAACTAGTCGTGTTTTATATACAGATAACTTCTTTAACAAAAACTGGTTTTTTTTCCTTTTCGGTACAAACGGTGGAGGATTGAGGCCCGAGGGATGACTAGACTGGGATTCGTCTAGGGTGGGACACCCCGATAATATCGTGATCGAGCCAAGGTCCCAAGCCTGGAAGAGGTGAAGAAATTTGTTGCACGCCCAACGAGGAAAAATAGATGAGGTAATGGATGAGGTACAAATCTGTTGCAAGTCTGGGTCTAGTATAATATCCTATATCAGTAATGGATGAGGTACAAATGTCACTGAACACCATAATAGGAAAAATGGCCTAACAACCCTGAGATTATGTGGTACTCATGAGGGCAACGGTTTCAAATTCTCATTGATTCAGGGAACATCATGAGTTTTATGAGAGAGCAAATTGCAAAGGCACTAGAATGTAGATTGACACATGCTAACCCATTGTCGGTCAAGGTGGCCTATGGCCAAAGGATGGTTAGTTCAAGTGCAGTTAGTGAGTTTGAAAGAAAGATGCAAAACCATAGGTTACTTTTCCACTAAGGGTCTTGCAGTATGAAGGGTGTGACCTTATATTTGGGGGTGACTGGCTAAAGGCATGTGCTCCAATAGAGTTAGATTACAACAAGATGACAATCACTGTCACTATGGATAAAGAATCGGTTAAATTACATGCCCTTACATCTATGGCTGATTGCAAGTTGATCAGAAGACATACATTATTTAGGATGATACATGAACAGATTTTGAAGCATGTAGAGGAGATCTATTGGATAACCATTCCAAATCCAGTCCAAGTAAGTAAACCAGATCTTGATGATCTAGTGAACATATATGGGGATATCTTTGAGGAGACTAAAGAACTACCCCCTGGTAGAGGGGTGGAACATCAAATAATCCTTAAATCTGACACTTCTCCTAGGCACTAATACCCTTACAGGGTCACACATGATCAGAAGAGTGAGATTGAAAGGATAGTATAAGAAAATTGTTGGAATCAGGGTTCATTCAACTAAGTTACAGTCTTTTTGCCTCACCTGTGCTATTGGTAAATAAAAAGGACAGTACATGAAAACTATGCATTGACTATAGGTACATAAATTTATTGATAACTAACCATGACTACCCAACACCAGTCATTGAAGAGCTATTGATGAATTACATGGGGCTCTGTATTTTTCCAAAGTGCATCTAAGGTCAGAGTACTTCCAAATCCTAATGAATCCAGACCACATGCATTTTACTGCTTTTAAGGCCCACAATGGTTAGTATAAATTTATAATGAAAGTTGTTGTGCTTCACCTCTTCTGGCATTACCAAACTGTCTATACAGGTAATCCAGTGCACCTGAGCCCCATGAATAAGTCCCAACATTATCCAAGTCCCCAATGATCTCGTGTAGGAATTTGGACTCACCCTGCTACCACTCTTGTCAACAACAAGGTGGCACCGAATAGCACGCACACCTAGGCAGTAGCCTGATCCACAGGCGACTGGGATGTCCCCTCAAGTGCTGCCAAAATCGATGAAACTGTCACCGTACCATGCTGTCAGAAAGACTGCATCAACTCAGTTTCGTGAGATGCAACATCTTCATGTAGTAAGCTTGGAAAGAGCTAGTGTCGAGGTTCTATATATATATATCTCTACATGAACCCCAAAATTCTCCCAAACATCATGCAGCATGATACTCATTTCACCAAACGACAGATGAAACGAGTTTGTATCAGACTGCCAGTGCTTGACAAATGCAAAAATAAGTGGACTATCCACATGAGTAAGCATGGAATCCACCAGATGTGACAGTCCGGTCCACATGTTGTTGTCGATCATGAGATATTGTGTTGTTATTGTTTTTCCTAGTTGTGCTTGCAGTGTGAAAATTATGCTCTAGCACAAACGATACATCTGATAATTAAACTACAATACATTCATTGCTTCACTATAATAACTGAGACAAAAGACCGGTAAATACACTACAAAATTTTTACTTGATTATTGATTAAATATAGGCCGGTCGATTGTGCATGAACAACCGAAAGCCGACTAGTAATATCTATAGGTACATGTATATTTTTTTTTTACATAATATTTGTGTAATACATGTATTGTGTTTTGTTAACATATTACAAAACGAAGCAACAAACTAGCCTTTAGTAAAAACTAATATGATTGCCCTATGTTTTCTTAAAGTGGTACAAACTTTATATTGTAATTATCTTTTCTATTTTTATTTTGAAAAGTAGAATAAAATTTATTTGGACCCTGTTATTTCGAATTATAATTAAATTATTTTTCTTTTCTTATAAGTATGTGAATTAAATTTCAAAGATTACATTTTTTCTGATTAAATCTATGTAACCATCTAACCTATTACATCAATACATTATAACTCATTTTCCTTTACCTTTATGTATGTATATATAGTTGATGAAATAAGTACATATGAAAATAAAAATATTTTTTTTAAAAAAATATAAAATAACAAAAATGGCACATTCTACTCTTCATTCCTTGTTGCCAATAGCCACCATTTTTCTCTTTATCCCATTCAACTCAGGCGACACTCAGTCGTTGATCGGTCAGATATGCAGGCAAACATCTGATTCCAGCTTCTGCCGGAGTTTCTTCAACCAACACTTGTACACACCCAACACCGACATCAAGGGTTTGGCCCAAATAGCCGTCACACAAACCTTAATATACGCGACCAATACCAAGATATTCATACTAAAGGCCATAGAATCGGAAAAGGATCCGGAGTTAAAAAGTTTCTACACAATTTGTAAGGAGGGTTACGGGAACCTAGTGAATGAATTCACGAGTGCTAATTTCGATTTTGGGAAAGGGGATTATGATTGCATGGTTTTTCACGTCAGAAATTGTGAGAGGTTTGTGACTGATTGCCAAAATGTTCTAGGCAATAGAGCGCGACAATTGGGGCCACAATTCTCATAATAGAGTGCTTGTTCAAATGTCGCTTATAAGTGGCCGACTTATAACTGGCAGAGTGTGAGGGAACAATAAGTAATTTTTTTCATAAGTTTGAATATGTGGACATTGTGTTTGTTTTCTTCTCTTCCACCTACAATTATGAGCAATTTTATAATTTGATGTCCTATTTTGAATATAAATAATCAAAACGGAAGTATAATAATTTACCAATGGAAGTATATATTTTTATTCATGAAGTATGTTTTTCTAACTATATCTATCATCAGTTTCTATTTGTCTCATAATAGACATTCTCATAAGTAAGGTCATTGCATAAGTTGTTATGGGGCAACCTAATTAATAATTACATGGACTACCTTCACACTTTGAATGAAGATGCATGATTTTATTTATGTTGCTTTTCTAAATTACTAGTACATATCTTGTGCAATACATAATATTACTATACAAATAATAAATTGTATGAGTGAATGACAAAATACAAGTTAAATTACAAGTAAGATTACATTATTATTATTATATTTTTTTTACCCTGTGAAGATTGCGGATGTTGTAGGGAATATATATATATATATATATATATGTGTGTGTGTGTGTGTGCATCTCTTATAAAAAATGATAAACATAAAATCTTTGGACTGTCATGCCATGCAATGTTTTAAATACCGGTACGTATCGGCCAGTGTTGCCGGTAATACCGGATATTGATGGTCCGACCGGTATGGTTACCTTCAAAATACCGTTTTGGCCAAATTCCTGTTTATACTGACTTCATACCAGAAAATACTGATTTTATCGTCCAACTTACCGGTTAAAATACCGGATTTTATATAAAAAAAATATTCTTATAACATTTTTAATACATATTTTTTTTGATTTATTTATATAAATAAAAAGTTCTACACTTAATTTTAATATATGTATAATATTATTAGTATATTTTTACATAATTTTAATATTTTTTCTAGATAGTTTTAAATATTATTTATATTATAATAATAGATTTATTCAATACTGATTGAAACTGGTAAAATTGACGGTAATACCGGTTGAACCGCGTACCGGTGGCTCGTCCGGTACGAGCGGTACGGTATTTAAAACATTGATGTCATGAAGGATGGGTATAAAGTTATACCTATTAAAATATAATACCACTTGTGAGTTGTCCTACATCGTTTATACATAGAAAATAAGTCTAGCATATAAGCCAAGTGGGTCACTCCTCATACTACCAATTGGTTTTAGGATGAAACCTCACTTGGGTTTCATCTGGGCTCGTGGGACTGCACCCATTTTATCCCCGTTTTCTTACATGGTATCAGAGCCGAGCCTACATGAGTCCTGGCGATGACACACCCGTTTTCCCTGTTTCTTACAAATTAACTCTTGCAACTGTTTATTGTGTTTTTGTGCTTATTTTCGTGTGTTTTGTGTGCTTTATTTTATAGTTTTTAGGCTCGTTTTAGTGTCGACCGGTCCATTTTATCGTGTTTTGTGTATTTTTATTATTGTATAGTGTTTTCGTATTTTTTTTGCGCGTTTTCTCTTTTGTTTTGGTGTTTTGTAGGGCCGGAAGGAAGAAATAGTCATTTCGTCATGTGCCGTCCAGCCGATCGAGTCGCCCGAGTCGCCCGAGCCGTTATCGAGTCATTACCGTGCCGAAAGTCTAGTTCGCCTAGCGAAGGTATTCGCCGCATAGCGAGTGTTCACAAGACTCATAGGGCCAGTCCGCATAGCGAATGAGTTCGCCGCCTAGCGAGTGTGCACAACTACAAGACCAGTTCGCCTAGCGAACTAGTTCGCTACCTAGCGAGTGCTGAATTTTTAAATGTGTGTGTGTTTTAGTGTGTGTTTGTGGTGTAGCTATATAAAGACATTATGCTTTGTATTTGTGGGAACAACTCTCATTTCCCAACTTTTAAGTTGGGAATTCCTCTCTATTTTCTATTTTCCTTTTTTTTTATATATTTTGGTTTGGAGCTTTATGAATCAAGTTTTCCGGCGAACTTCCGGCGACATTGTTTTGAGCAAAGTTTCAAGCTTTTGATTCCGTTTCTTCTCCCGAGTGCATGTTGGAGTGGGTAACTTAGTCTTAAGCCCCATTACCTCGTATATCTTTATTGCTTTGGTAAATTGATATTGTGCTTGTGATTTTGGAAGAAAAGATTGTTGCTTTGGATCATGAATGCTTGACTAAGTGTGATTAGGAGTTGAATACTTGCTCGTCTTGTGCTAGAGTTGGGTTTAGCTTCCTAGGGTTTTAGCTAGCATGGCAATGTTCGGTTATTTGCGTGTGATTGATCATGGAGACTCCGGAAAACCAAAATCTCTCTTTCCCCCTTGATTTCTCTAATTTTCTTGCGTGCTTTACTTGTTTTCAATTTCAATTTCGTAGATTAGCTTAGCTTAATTCAAACCCTCAAATTGCGAGTAGAATGTTTAGGGCCTTTTTGGTTGTGTGACTTTGACGACTAGATAGTAAACGAAGCTCCGAAGAGCCTTCCTTTGAGAACGACCCGAGTCGGGTAGCTCGGTTACCACATGCCCAAAAATATTACAAACAGCAACCAAAAGGGGAGGAGTTGTAGGTCTAGACTCGTATAAAATAGGCATATCCATAACTGTATTGCCAATGTATTAAACAACTCATTAATTCGCCATTCATGTTTATTCTCTTGTTACGAAATATTATTGAGGATGAATCTCTGAACGAGTAGGTCATTCGAGCACTTTAACCTAATAATCACTTGCTCGTTAATTGTGTTTTAAACTACAACGACAATCCCCGACTCCCTAGCTTCTTTATCAATTTTGATTCATGTTTTTGAGTTGATTTCTTATTTTGCATTTTCTTATATTTCTTAGCTGATAGTTTAACTCTCCTTCTTGAATTAGAGTGTTTAGGTTTTATTTTTTTCTTTTGTTTGCGAACACTGATTCTAAATTTCAAACCTCCTTCCTCGAGAGATTAACTCGAGGTCAGGAGTCATCCCGTACTCGGTAAAAATATAACTTGCTACAACACCCACGACAAAAGTGTCAAATTTTTTACGTTTCCAGGTGGGCGACCATTTTTTAAAAAGGATTGACATGCTCAGGTATGTGGGTAAGATCGAGCCCAACTGAGAGCAGACATATGTGGTTGAATGTGTCTATGTCGGAGGAGCTTATACCTTGAAGTATCCAAAAGGGAGACCATTACTGAGGTCATGGAACGTTATGAACTTTAAGAAATATTATGCATAATTTTTTTCTTTTTATTCAGTGCAATTCATAAACATGTCAATTTCAATGAAGATGATCATTATTATTAAATCGTTCGATGTGTTTCAATAGACCTTAATGGCAGGTCACTAATCGATTATCTTAAAAACCCAGCATGATTAAGGCCTTCGGACTGGATGGCCGACCCCAAAGGATGGTTTTGTTCGTCTTTATTAATAAAAAATCCAGCACGACTAAGGATTTCAAGCTAGCTGTTCGCTGGTTTGAATGACCCTAAGGAGGGTTGGGCAAGTGTCGAAGACAAATAACCCAGCATGATTAAGGCCTTCGTGTTGGCTGGTTGACCCCAGATGAGGGCTTGTTGATGTTTGTTAATAAAAAATCCAGCATGAAAAAGGCTATTGAGCTGGTTGATTGTTTGTTTGAACGACCCCAGAGGAGGGTTGAGTAAGTGTTGAAGATAAAAACCCAGCATGATTAAGGCTTTCGAGTTGGCTAGTCGAATCTAGAAGAGGGTTGTGTTAATGTTCTCTAATAAAAAATCCAACATGACTAAGGCCTTCTAGCTAGATGGTTTCTTGTTTGAACGACCTTAGAGGTGTGTTGGACAAGAGTTGAAGATAAAAATTCAGCATGATTAAGGTTTTCCAGCAAGCTGGTGGACCCTAGAGGTGGGCTGAGCAAGGATTGAAGACCAAATCCCAGCATGATTAAGGTCTCCGAGTTGTCTAGTTGACCCTCGAAGATGGTTGGTCATGGATTGAAGATCGAGCAATACGTTACAATCAAAGGTTTCACAACGATCACGTCTCAAAATTCAAGTTTTAATGACCTCATCAGAAAGTCAAACACACAGAATACGAAAAGCATTATTATGTCAAGCATGGAGCCATTTTGGAAGACCTTAGTTGCAGGTCGATTAAAGTGACTTAATTTCTACTTTGCATAATTTTTTAGAAAATTATGAATGACTATTTTGCAGGCCTCAATGGTAGGTCGATTACAGTGACTTAATTGTCTCTACGTAATATTTAAAAAAAAAATGAATTACTACCTCGGAGACCTCAGCTGTAGGTCGATCAAGGCAATTTAATTTTCAGGTTCGTGCAATTTTCTAAACCGTGACTTATTATTATGGAGACCTCAGTGGCAGGTAGACTAATTTCTAAGTGTTGAATCACTTTTGGAGACCTTAGTTACATGTTGATTAAGGTGAGATCGGAAAATGTTTTCTAAATGTAGCATCTCTTAGAAAACCTTGAAGGCAGGTCAATGCGCATATTAAACCAAAGGAGATTGCATTTCGTAATCAAAAAATTTTACATGGTTGATAAGATTACATCCGAAGTTAAAAAAAACTATAAAATTAAAACAAACTATTGCGAAGGATTATGAGTTTGCTTGGGAGTGGTCGAGGATTCTGGTTGCTCTCACACCTGGCCAAGGACCGCTTCCTTGGCCTCAGGCGCGTCAAGGTTCGCTTGAGCCTCAGTAGGTTTAACTCCTTCAGATCAACCTGGATGGGATGGAGCTGTAGTTCTTTTACTGAAGAGGTCAAAATTCTTCTCAAGCTGGTCACGAACGAAGCACCGCTCGAGCATATTCGTCCAGCAAACATGGTCCTCATGGCGATCATGCTCGCCCTTATAGCTTGTGGGATACTCACGGAGCCAATCCTAGATAGTCTTACGGTCGAGAGTCCCTGTGAAGCTGAGGGTGTTGAACTACTTCTCGACCTCATCTAGACCAATCATGTATAACTCAACAGTGGCAGGGCA